ATCTTGAATAGAAAAATAAAGAATCACAAGTCGATTACATTGTTTTCCCTAATATAAAAATTAGTTACTCATACTGTAAAAATAAAAACACGCAAAAGTGGAACGATACCACAAAAAATTGACGAAACGTGAAACTGCTCGTGTATGTCGTCTCATTTCTTTCTTTTTTTTTCTTCTCTCTCTTTCCTGCTGCAGCAACCGTCTTTCTTTTACTTTATTCTTTTTTTTTCTTTTTTCTTTTTGTCTCCTTTCCTTTTCTCTTCCACGGCTGCCTTTCTTCTTCTCTTTTTTTTTTTTCAATTTCTTTCTTGTGCGTTTTCTTTTCTCTCTGTTTTCTCTTCTTGCGTTTTCTTTTCTCCATTTTTTAGTAGCTGTTTTTTTCTCTTTTCTTTCTCTCTTTCTTATTTCAATCACATTGATGTCCAATTAAAATTTTTAATGCAAGTCCATTGAGCCCATTTAACTCCAACACATTTAATGTACTATTTCTCTCCAAGGTTTTCATCTTTGAATTTTACCATTTTTTGCCACTTTTGCATTATTTTCTCAAATTCTTCATTAACTATAAAATTTTACCTACAAAATACAATATAACATAAATTATGGAGAATTTTATCCAAAAGATAATAAAATAGCATGATTTAGGGTCTCGAACACGTGTAAAAACTACGCTTATCAGTTAATGTTACATGTGCAAATAATTAATATTGTCGGCTGAATACTAAATTTAAATAAATAAAAATATGTGATCAAATTAGATGCAATGCATCATTATCAAATAATAGCAAAAGAAGTGGGTCTATTCTTACTACCGCCCATTTAAAAATTGTGCATGTGACAAGCACATACATGATAGAGTATTTGACTATATTTAGATAAATTAGTGTGGTCTTTCTCCAACATAGATGGAAAACTACCTTATTTATTAGTATAATTGCAATCAAATTATAAAGCTCAGATGTTAACATCCAACTTGCATGTTTATAATTAATATCTACGCCATCTAATTTGACAAAATACTCATTTTGATATGGTAAATTCTATACACAAGATCTCGAGTAGATTGCTGTTTAGATTCAAGCAATTATGCATATGAAGACAAAGTGTAGTGAGAGGTCGGGGTCACGAAAATGAATCAAGTTGACTAGACTCAGCAACCAAGGAGGAGCACAGTGTATGCTTTGTTAAACAAAGTCAAATTACACGACGTGTGACCTTTTCACTATCTGCAAAATAACACAGTCATATACATTAGCCCCTATGTGGTTTTGTTGAAAATAATTTTTTAGTAAATTTTAATTAAAAAAATTGATTAATATATGATTCAAAAGTTGATAAAAGATATGGACCCCATCAACTTTGTGGTTGAAAATAAATTTGGAAAAATAAGTTTAAGAAATGGTGGTGGTATCGTGTGACTTTATAATTAAAAATTGACATGCAATGTCACTTTTAAATGCTCAACTTTTAATTTATATTCTACACAAAAATAGAAAGTAAGATTTAAATATTAGTTAAAAAGATTCTTTTATAAGCCAATTGTGAACGTAAGCAAAAATGTTCTTCAAAGAAAACTAGATTACAACATGTGTCACCTTTTATTTAAAAAGTGTCATAGCGTGCCACTCTCTAGTGTAAGACAAATATCACGAAAGGCAAGAATTTTTAACTAAAATGACAAAGAATGCCACTATAAAGTAACATAACATGTCACTTTTTAACTAAATGAAACAAACATGTCATTCAACTATACATAACAAATATCAAAAAAAAAAAAGAGGCTAAGTTTCACGGGTTACCTTTCTTCTTAGCACAGAAAGGGACACCGTGCGACAGTAGTCTGCTCCGCTAGACTACCTTCCGCCTTTTCTCGGTCGTTCCGGGACAAAAGTAAGTTTGATCACAATTTAAAGAAAGCTTGCAACACGAAATTGAAATGCATTGAATTAAACTTGATCATTGATTGCTAGAAAGCTTGAA